GAAAGTCACCTTGAATCCCTTTGCCTCCAAAGCTCCAACTGAGATAAGATTTTTCTTCAGTTGAGGAACAAATCTCACCTCCTTCAACTCACGAACTACTCCATCGTGCATCCTAATCCGTACGGTACTTATCCCACAAACGCCACAGGATTGATCATTTCACATGACAACAACGCCCCCGTCGACTTTCTCAAAAGATGCAAACCAGTCTCGCCTAGGGGTCACATGAAAAGTAGCGCCGGAATCAAGCATCCAATCTGATGCATCCACATGGTTCACCTCTGGAGTAATCAGTAGAGAAAAGCACGAATCATCGGAATCATCGCCTTTCGCAATGTTCACCTCATTGGCCTTCGGGCCCTTTTTCTTGCTATTCTCCTTCTCTTTGAGCTTCGGGCAGTCTCTCTTCCAATGTCCCTGCTCCTTGCAGAATGCACATTGGTTCTTTGTTAATTGGTGGCGGCCTCTAGACTTTGACCTCCCTCTGTTACCACCTTTCGGATATGGGCTTCTACCTCTTGTCGACAAGGCCTCTCCTGAAGTACTAGCGCGGGAAGTCTCCTTATCCTTCCTCCTCAAATCGTAGTTCGTCAAAGCGTTAGTCACTTCACTATAGCTGATAGAAGATCTCCCGTTCAACAAAGTGAGCACGAAGGTATCATACTCCTCATCCGGTAAGGAGCCCAACAAAATAATCGCCTTGTACTCATCCGATATCTTCTCATCAACATTCGCCAAGTCCGACAACAACTTCGTATAGTTGTTCACATGAGCCGCAAGCGAGGTGCCTCTGGACATCTGGAATCTGAATAACCTACGCAGCAAGTGCAATCGGTTCTCAACACTCTTCGTAAGGTACTTATTGTTGAGAATTTCCCACATCTTCATCGCAGACGTCACCCCAATCACATCATACTTCAGCTCCTGTTCCAAACAGGACCTGATCACCCCACAAGCGTTCCTATTCATTTTCTCCCATACCGCCTCTTCATATTTAGGTGGCCTCTCGTGGACCATGATGGTCTCTTCCAAATTCTGAGCATTTAACGCATCCTGTACGTCGCTCATCCACAAACCAAAGTTGATTTTTCCGTCATATTTCACCACACTAATTTTGGTGTTTTGAAAACCAACTTGTATTGTACTCGCCATCGATTTGCTGCTTTCACCTTCTTCTCCCATTGCGAACTAACTCCAAATTGTAGAGAAAGAACAAATTTGATAGAATTAGGAACCACCCAACTGAACCCTAGATCGGATTCCAAATAGATCTCCTATCCACACGAGAAAAGCAAAATCTCCAACGGCAACTCCTAATGCTATCTCCACCGAAGCCTAGAACTCCAAGAACCAAGCTTTACACAAAATCTTCCTCCACCAAAAAACCCTAGATCTAAAATCTGGGCTCTGATACCACTTGTTGCGCGCAGCGGAAATTTCGGCAGCACTTAGGCAGCACAACAAGAGAGTCAGGTCGCAATAAGAATTCTTGTTTCTCAAAGGGAACAAGAATCTGAAGCCTATCAACCAAGTGAGATATCGGCTCTTCCTCTCATCAGTTCTAGGACTGACCTGTCAAGGGATCCTAAAAGCTATTACAAATCACACAAAAGCAGTACAACCAATTTTACGTGGTTCGGCAAATTGCCTACGTCCATGGGTCAAGGAAGGGGGAGATCTACTAATAGAGGGAGAGAATACAACTAGGGTTTACAATCACTCAATCTAAACCCTCAAACAAATTAACTCTCAAATCCCTCACAAATATCTCTCACAAAAGGATGCACAAAAGCTACACTATTTCTTCTTGCCGCAGAGAATCCCCGCAGCCAATGAAGACAACCTCAAAAACCTCTGCGCACGCCTTCTTTTGCACGAACTGCAGCCGCAAAAGATTCCAAATCACCTCCTGCTCACCCCATTGCCCTAGGAAACGAATAATATATATAGGCTTCAGAATCGGGTGGGCCTGCATCGCGTGTTTGAAACGAAAAACAAGTGCTCACGCGGTTTCTTTTGTGCTGCTTGCAGTACTCACGTGGGAGTGGCCCACTAATCAATCCCACGAGTTCACATCTAAATCCTATTTGCTGTATCTAGGTTTGTTTCCTCAGACAGTTTAGTGATTCAGTCACGAAGGTTGATTATTTTGCCCTCCGCAATGGCTTCATTAGAGTAAGAAATATTAACATGAAGTTAATTCTACTGTTAAAAATGCAACAGCTGTAGTAATAAAATATGTGTATTCATGCACCAGATTCATCTTTCCAAGGGTAGCATTTTTTACTTCCACAAGTTTCTTAGACGATCACTAGACAGAGACTTTTTGATGATCGTGAGAATAACGTATCCATACTGAATACTACTTGCATATGATTTCATATTCTCGAATTCTGACATATATATTTCTATTGTCTCAATAATTTTACTGAATTATTTCTCTTCGTATTAATCTCATGTAGCCCTGCAATCTGGTTGTACGCTGTCCTCGTCATTTTCTTCAATGCTCACGGTAAAGTAGTGTGCACATGCAATAAAAAGAACCTAGATCAAGTTACTAAATCACCCTTAATTTAACATTAAATAGATTTTTCTTGGTACTACTTAATTTGTTAGCTCATGACTGTCATAATTTCTTCAATTGCAGAATTCTACAATCATTATTGGCTCCCTTTCATCCCCTTAACGGTGAGCATAGTTAACGTTGTGTGTGATGCATTTAGGAGGTTAACTAATTAGAAAAAAAGATAGATTTCCTGTAGGAGTTTCTTAGAGGCTAATGAGAGTATATTCAGAAAATATACTGATAAGCTTGCTCTGCAAGAAAATAGATAGGAAAAAGATGATGATTTGGATAAAATTTCTTAATGCAGATGCTTTTGGTGATTGGAACAAAACTAGAAGTGGTTATAACCAAGCTTTGTGTAAGAACTAAGCAACAAGTTCTGACTCCAGGCGTAGTTTCCGTAAAACCTGATGACAATTTATTCTGGTTTGCAAAGCCTATATTGATTCTGCATGCTATACATTTCATCCTAATCGAGCACTAGATTTCCAATCTTTATGGTCAATGTGTATTTTAGACATATTTACAGTATCCATTTAGATATTGCGTACAGAAGTTTCCCTTTTCTTTTCATTATGGCTACTGTGTACAGCTTTAGCATTATGCATTTAAACCAAAATTTATCCTCAAATAAAATTCTCATTAATAGGAATCTTCTCCTAACTTAACTTGACAGCAGGTATTATTAATTAGGGAAAATCTTTTTTTAACCTAAAGTTTTACTTCAACTTATTTTTAAACCCATCTTCTTTCATTATGATCCATACACCCAAAATACAACACCCACTTATTTATAAACCCAAAGTATCACTTATTTATAAACCCAAAGTATCAAATACACCATATTTCTGGTGCTCCTCCCACTCAAAAAAACCCTAAAACACTCAAAAACACTCGACTACTGACGCATCGTGTTTATTGGCCGATTATCCACCGCGTCGGGCTGTCCTCGTTGAATTTCGAAGCTTCAGGCAAAGTATAGCACTTTACGGGAAAGTATAGCACCTTATGGCCAAAGTATAACACCTTATGGCAAAGTATAGCACCTTATGAGTATAGCACCCTAAGGTCAAAGTATAGCACCTTATGCTCTCTAAAAATTCTGCACATCAAGTTGTCGAGAACCATTTTAGTTTTTTTCCCCGCAACGAAAACATTCGACGATCGACGCATCGTATTTATTGACCAATCATCTATCGCGTCGGGCGGTCCTCGCTGAATTTTGAAACTTCAGGCAAAGTATAGCACTTTATGGGGAAATATAGCACCTTATGACCAAAGTATAGCACATTATGGAAAAATATAGCACCTTATGGTAAAATATAGCACCTTATAGGCAAAGTATAGCACCTTATACCCAAAGTATAGCACCTTATCTCTCAGGCGGTCCTCACTAAATTTCAAAGCTGCAGAATTTCCAGAGAGCATAAGGTGCTATACTTTGGGCATAAGGTGCTATACTTTGGGCATAAGGTGCTATACTTTGTCATAAGGTGCTATACTTTGGCCATAAAGTGCTATACTTTCCCGTAAAGTGCTATACTTTGCCTGAAGCTTCGAAATTCAGCGAGGACCGCCCGACGCGGTAGATGATTGGCCAATAAATACGATGCGTCGATCGTCGAATGTTTTCGTTGCGGGGAAAAAAACTAAAATGGTTCTCGACAACTTGATGTGCAGAATTTTTAGAGAGCATAAGGTGCTATACTTTGACCTTAAGGTGCTATACTTTGCCCATAAGGTGCTATACTTTGCCATAAGGTGTTATACTTTGGCCATAAGGTGCTATACTTTCCCGTAAAGTGCTATACTTTGCCTGAAGCTTCGAAATTCAACGAGGACAGCCCGACGCGGTGGATAATCGGCCAATAAACACGATGCGTCAGTAGTCGAGTGTTTTTGAGTGTTTTAGGGTTTTTTTGAGTGGGAGGAGCACCAGAAATATGGTGTATTTGATACTTTGGGTTTATAAATAAGTGATACTTTGGGTTTATAAATAAGTGGATGTTGTATTTTGGGTGTATGGATCATAATGAAAGAAGGTGGGTTTAAAAATAAGTTGGAGTAAAACTTTGGGTTAAAAGAAGATTTTCCCTATTAATTATTAACCATTTTCGTCTGTAACATTTGTTCGTACTAGGTGTGACCTTTTCTTTTCACCTAAATTAATACCTTTCTTTCTTTTTCTCTTTAAATTTTTTCCTAAATCAAACAGAAATTCTGAACGAATATTCCTACCATATTATGTCACTTTCTCTTGTGTTCAGTAAGGAACATCAAATAAGTCAAATTTCATTTTGTATGTACACATCAAATAAGTCAAATGCCTGTTGTGACTTGTACCTGTAGCTAATATTTTCTTTTTGCCTTTTTATAAATATAACCAACGGTGACAACAATATTTTTTGTGCAATGCAGAACTCCTTTCAACTTGCATTCTTCACTTGGACATGGGTTGTTGGAGTTATAACTTAAAAACTTGGGTTTGTAGAGGAAAAGAGGAAAAGTTTAGTCCCACATAGGAAATGGAATAGGAAGGAAGAATCTTTATAAGCCTTCCCTTTCTCTCCTATGCCTAGAAGAAAACAAAAGGTTATGCTCCACACCACACACGCGCGCGCCGGCCGGGCCGGGCTCGGGCTCGGGTGGTGCGCGCACACGACCTGCGGACACGAATGCAGCTCCGGAATAATGGGCCCTTAATATGCTAACATTTTTATTTTTACTAATTGGAACTGTTTAAAACGTGATTAACATTTTTAAAATGATTAACGGCCAGAATTAATTGGAGAGATTTATGAACTTTAAAAAAAAACGTGATTAACATTTTTAAAATGATTAACGGCCAGAATTAATTGGAGAGATTTATGAACTTTAAAAATGAATAAAAACGTAAATGAAACGGTAATATTCATGAGAATTAAAACAGAATCAAAACGGAAAAATGGTTTTTATGAGGATTTAATTCGGTTTTGAAAAACGTTCATTCTCAACCTCTATATAAACAGCAAGCTGCGAGGGTAGAAAACACAGTGTGAAAAACACAAAATTCTCCTCTTCCTTCTCAGCTCTGTTCTTCTTCTTACACTTGCTTGCTATTACAACTTGCTGGTTCCCTGAAAGTCTAGGAGAGTTCGCAAAGCCTTCTTGAAGCTCGTGCCGACGAGAAGGAGGTCGCCTGACCGAGGGTCGTCGTATCTCCGAGATCTATTGCCGCGTAGCCCTGTACGAGAGGGGGCAATTAGTTTCTTGGGACAGTGCTTTGCACGCTTCGATCATCAGGCCGTATTTCTAACTCTGTTTCTTTTTCATTTGATATATTTCTTATATTTGTGTTATAATAGTGATTATCTGTTAATTATTAAATTGCTTAAACTGATTTTCGTTATTGTCTAAACAGCTTATATTCCCAACATGGGTTAGTATGCAAGAAGCAAATTACATTAGTTAGTGATATTTACTTTTATTATGTTGGAGAAAAAAATAGGAGAAAACAAGAATATAAGTTTTATTAAAGAAAATGTTTCATTTGCTCATATCATGATAACAGAGAGAATGGCCAAATATATAGGCCTTACATCAACTTAAACTCCTAGAAATCAACAACAAACAATTCAAAAAACACATGACAATTGACTAAGTAAACAACTAAACCACTACTAACATACTATCCTGAAAAATAGGAAATAACCTAATAACTAATTTTGAATCAGTTATTCAACATTCCCCCTTAATTTAAAATTTCTTGTCATTCCTCTTGAATCTTCATAGAGCACTTCTCTCCATAATCTTGTAAAGCACTTCTCTTCACTTTGTGATGCACTTCTCATCTCTATCTTGTTGATGTACAGAATCACCAACATTCTCTTAAAGGAGCACATCTCTCCACAAATATTGATAGAGCACTTATCTCAATCTCTCCATGGTGCACATCTCACCATGATTTCTAGAATAAAATTTCTTCTTCAACTGCTTGTGCCATGTTTGCTTGTTCTTCACCATTATATCGGCAATATTTTTGGATATGACCAAATCTCTTGCATTTGTGACATTGAGGTTTTCCTTTATGCCAACAATCCTTCTCCTCATGGCCAAGTTTCTTACAATGGTTGCATTGGACGCCTTTGCCTTTCCCTTTTGAAGATGAAGTCTTGGCTAATAAGGTTTCTTCAATTTCTTTCACCATTTTCTTCCTCCCTCATTGATCTCCTTTGGTCTACAGCACTGAGGGCATTGACTAAATCCACTAGAGTTATTTTGGATAGGTCTTTAGAATCTTCAAGTGAGGAAATTTTGGACTCATACCTTTCGGGAACAATCACTAAAATCTTATCAATCACTCTTTCATTTGAAAATGTTTCACCAAGCAATCTAATTTGATTGACAATAGCCATAAGCTTACCGACATACTCTTTGATGGTCTCACCTTTCTTCATCTTTTGCATCTCAATTCCCTTTTGAGATTCAGAACTTGCATCAATTTTGTTTGATCGTTGCCCTCGAACTCTTCTTTTAGCATCTCCCACGCCTCCTAAGGTGATTCACAAGTCATTACTTGTGAAGATTCCATCTGACACGGTCGAATGAATACAAGAGAGGGCTTTTGGCTTCTTTGCTTTTTCTTCGTCGTGCTTCTTGATTTGGTTTAGGGTTGGATTTTGTGGAAGAGGGGTTGGCTCATAGTCACTCTCAACAACCTCCCATAAACTCAAAGCTTTCAAATGGGATTTCATCTTGATAGCCTAAGATTGATAATTGTCTCTATTGAGGATGGGGTATGGAAGTGAAAAATTGTCAGATGCCATTAAAAAACAAAGATTGATCACTCTATATATTTTTTTTAAATCCTCACAAACCCAAGAAAACTGGAGCTCTGATACCATGTTGGAAAAAAAAGAGGAGAAAACAAGAATATAAGTTTTATTAAAGAAAATGTTTCATTTACTCATATCATGCTAACAGAGAGAATGGCCAAATATATAGGCCTTACACCAACTTAAACTCCTAGAAATCAGCAACAAACAATTCAAAAAACACATGACAATTGACTAAGTAAACAACTAAACCACTACTAACATACTATCCTGAAAAATAGGAAACAACCTAATAACTAATTTTAAATCAGTTATTCAACATATTATATCTCTAACTTTCTTTACAATGCAGTACAAGTTTGGGATTCACTCATGCTTCCATAGAGAAATGGTGGATATCATATTAACTGTTGGGATTAGCATTCTAGTGCTATTTCTCTCTGCTTATGTGACTCTGCCTCTTTATGCACTAGTTACTCAGGTGACGACTCTAATACTTGATAGGTCATACTGATCTAGAAGCTATTATTATTATGGAATTTTCTGACTTATAAATTTATTTGCTTTTGCAGATGTGTTCATCAATGAAAAAAACAGTATTCACAGATGATATAGTTACGGGTCTAAAGACATGGCACAAAATGGCCAAAAAGAGTCTCTCAAGGAAGAAATCTATTCCAACAACAAGAACCTCAGTAATGACAATGAAATTTTTGTCTGAAAACATTGGAAACAAGAAATCTTTTCCTACAAGCCATTTAATGAAACCCTTGCCAAGTCCAAGAATTGATGTTCCATTACCAAGAACACAAAGTTCAGTGTCAGAATTTAGATATCCATCAGGAAGATTAGAACTTTTAGAAATGCAGAGAGTTGCAGAAGAAATAATAGAGTGCAGTTCTAAGAACATACCTTTTGATGGAGAAATCTCTTTCCGATTATGGAAGAAGCAAGGAGAGCCTTCAAAATAATTAAGAAATAAATTGAATCAATTGCATAATATCAGTGTCAAATTAATTTTGCAGCATCATATTCAATTTATTCAAATCAAATTTAATGTTTTGTGTCAGTTTGTGTGTTTTCAGTTTTTTTTTTTTTTGTTTTTAGAATTTTCATTAGGTGTACATAATGAAAAATGTTTGAGTCCATTGTTTCTGAAATAAAGTAAAAAAAGCCTCCAGATACAGATAATGATTGTTTGGAAATACTCAATATGGTGTGCCTGTAACATATTTGTCGCGCGCCTATGCGGAAGCGTTGCACGCACACACAACGAACTTGTGATCACGGAAGAAGAAAGCCACACACTTGCACAAATCAAGCCAATTACGACAAATCAAACCAAACACAGAGATATACGTGGTTCGGCAACTTGCCTACGTCCACGGGGAGAGGATGGAGAGATTTCACTAATTCAAGGAGAGTACAAAGGATTACAATCACACAAAACTCTCAAACTAACCCTCTACCAAAGATCTCACCTTGCTCACAATATCTCCCTCTCACAATGCTCAAAAGATTCCTCAATCTCTGATAAAAAAACCCTAACAAATCGTTTCCCTATTTATATCAAAAGAAAAACCCAATCAGACTGCAAACAGGAAACCTGATTATGCAAAAAACTCATCGTAAGTCGACTTAACAGAGAGCATAAGTCGACTTGGCAGAGAGAAAAAACAGCAACTGGAGATCACTTCATAAGTCGACTTATCAGGCCTGATAAGTCGACTTGGCAGAGAGAAAAAAACACAACCCCAGTGCAGATCGTAAGTCGACTTGTGCACACTAACAAGTCGACTTATCATAAGTCGACTTAGCCTTGTGCATGAGTCGACTTATGCCAGAAATTCTGGTTTTTCTGATTTCTCCACAATATTGTGTTAGACCCAAGAGGGGGTGATTAGGGTCTTATGCTAATCTAATCCGATTAAAAGCTAATTAAAATTATATTGATTAATTTGATCTTGCAAGATATGAATATGAACAATAAAGATGAATAAGAAAACGCTAAGCAAAACACAAACACACAATATGTTTACGAGGTTCGGTCGATCACCACGACCTACGTCCCCGCTCATCACCTCGAGGAGATATCCACTATCACAATCCGGTTTGGAAGCCGGAACTTCTACACACTCGGTTTACAAGATCACCGAAAACTCTCACACTACACAAACACTATGCAATCACACTTTACACACTAAGTGTAGGAACCTACCCCGTGTCCTCCTCCTCAAGTGCTCGATTACAACCTCTCCCTAGGTTCGTCAATCGACGCCACTCCTATTGGATTTGACCTCGTGTCTCGCCTCACACTTTTCTCGGTGTACAAGTGTATTACAAGTGATTCTCACAAATAAAACTTAAATATAATGATTTGCTCTCAAATAACAAGTGAGAACACAATGAAGCTCACACTCACTAAATCACACCCCACAACCCACACTATATGGTATGAAAATATTAAGCTCAATAAGTGTGTGTGATAACAGTGAATCAAACTCAATAGATATAGCTAAATGAAGTGAAAATGAAATAATAAGCTATAAAAGAGTTTAGAAGACTTCTCAAAAAAGAAGAACAGTAGAGATGATTCCAATAGGATTGAATGCCACTTCTTGTTGTAGAAAAACTCTTCTTGAAAAACTGATTGATGAAATCAACTATTAAACAGCTCTTAAACACAATCAATATTTTCTTAAACACCAAACTTGGATTTCTTAGTTATATAGAGAAAGAACAGAAATGGGGTATATATAGCACCCCAATACAACAGCAAAAAGGAAGTAAAAAGACCAAAAAACCAGTTTGAAAACAGACAGAAAAACTAGCCATTACACAGGTTCTGACACCACGGCGGTCGACCGGTCCGGTCGACCGCTAAGTTCAAAAACTCAGGTAATGAGGGTTTAGAGCTGGTGGTCGACCGACGGAATTTTCAGTCGACCGGAAATTCTCTCGGCCGACCGGTGCGGTCGACCGCGAGTATGAGCTCAAAAAACCACTGTCGGTCGACCGGATCGGTCGACCGAAAACCGATATAGGCAAACTGACAGGTTTTGGGGCAGTTTTGAAAATTCGTTAAAAATATCAAATCACATCCAAAAATAGTGGAACTTTGGGGAAAGTTTTTAAATGATAAAATAAACATGTTTAAAAAGGAATTTATGGAAAATCAATTTTCGTTTGTGAAAACTACCTGTTTTTGAAAAATGCTTAGAAAACATGTTTTTTATGAAAGTGAAAGTTGATATAGAACTTGTAAATATGTATATATATATTGTGCATGTATTATATGTATATAATGAAGTACGAAAGAGCTGTAAACATGAGATAAAAGTTATTGTAACCACGTTTGATGAAAAATTATTTAGATGATAGAAAACGTCAAAAAAACGTGTTAAGTGTACATATATTGAGCTTAGATATAATCATACAATATATGTAAGTAAACTAAACATCTACCTAGGTACATCCACGCAAATGAACTTGAATCTTTAATACTTGATTGACGTGTGTTGAAATAACTGAAAAGAGAACATAAACACAAAACACTAGAAAACTTATTAGTAATAAATTGTTTGCCAAATCATCATCAAAACTATAGGGTTAACAATCTCCCCCTTTTTGATGATGGCAAACAATTTATACATGAATATGAAATATAAACTGATAACCCACATATAAGCCAAACATGAATAAATCATACAAATGATCACATGAACCATATATAAAAAGAATCAATTTGTAAATCAATTTGTAAACCATATGTGGTATTTTCTCCACCTTTGACAACATCAAAAAGGGAAAAAAACAAATTAGGAGCAACGCTCCCCCTGCATATAAGCATAGATAATAAAAATGTATACCAAAAGCTCCCCCTATCAAATTGACTGAATGACATCTATTGAACATATATAGGAGCTAAAACAACAATTATCCATCAAACATATGCATAAACAATATAAGTAACTCAATTTCTACAAACAAAACATGATTATTGTTTTAACTATGCATTGATCATAAAAAGGATAAACTAGAATAAACAATCACAAATCATCATTTAAGCATCATAGATGTGCATAAATATACAAAACATAAAAGGTCACATAAAACAGACATAAATGTAGTTTGTTCCTCAAAGCATCATAGAGTTATTACACTCAAATAAAACAGAGTTATCAAGTTTTACAACCCAGAAGAGAACATCAAAACAAATATGAGCATCATATAAAGGAACTCAAATCATTCATCACCATCATCACCATTGCCATCATTATCACCACCATCATCACCATCATCATCACCATCATCAGAAGAGCCTGAGCCATCAGCATGGTCCTCACCAGAATCAGACTCAGAACTAGAAGAGGGATCCGGAATCCCTAGAGACTAACGCTGATATGAAAGAATTGTCCTAACATCCCTTTGAATAGTTAAGACCTTCTTCTGAACGTTTGAGATCTGAGTCTCAAGACGGTCCAGACGGTCACAAATATCAGAAGAGGATGAGGTAGAGGCTCTAGAATGGGAGCGAGAGGATGATGAAGGAGTGGAATCAGAAATGGACATCTGCATTCTAGAAAGAGAAACCTTATCAAAGAAATCTTTCTTAGATTCAATCTTGGGTTCATTGGGACATCTGCATTCTAGAAAGAGAAACCTTATCAAAGAAATCTTTCTTAGATTCAATCTTGGGTTCATTTGTGAGGTCAACATTGAAGTGTTAAAAGATGAGGGTGAGAAAGGAGCCAAAAGGTAAAAATTTGGTATGCTTCGATGCCATATTATTGACAAAGATAGTTGTCCAATCTACTTTTATTTTGGCAAATATGGCATATACGGCATTTATATTGTCAGAGGCAAAGTGATCGAAACTACCGGTCTTAGGAATCAAGTTTTGAGCAACGATTCTAGCAATGAGTTTGGCAATTGGATTGAGTGAATTGTTGTTCATAGGATAAGAGAAGCCGGGTTTAAACATGAGTTGGTTGACAGCTAGATCACTAAGCTCAACAGACATGAGATCAACGTCACCTGTTGGGATTTGAAGAATCCCGCAAGTTTGTTGGCAGAAAAGTTTATTGCAACATTTTTAACAGATGATGTTATGGTCAAACTACCATTAGCAGAGGATGATGTGGACAGATTGACATAAAATAGATAAACTAAAAAAGGATAGAAAGGAACCTTATGTCCCTCATCTAGCAATCTATCTAACCCAACATTATGAAGGATAGACTCAGTGTTATACATGAATAACTGAGGATATACGATATATCTAGTTGGAAGAATTTTCAGTTTACACAATTCTCTATATTTTCTAACAAGAGATTTAAACAATAAAAAATCCTCATAGTGAGAAGCTTTTGTAGAGGATGAACTAGACTCTGGTTTTGATCTCTTTTTAGGAGGCATAATCGATTAGGGTTTTGATAGATATGAGATATGATTTGAAAAACACCTGTAAAAAGAAATTTTGAGCAAATTTAAAACCTTCCCTAAAATAGAAACCCTAGATTGAGAATGTGAACATAAGAATGCAGAAATCAAAAGTTAAAGGAAGAATTTACCCACAAATTCTGATGGAAATCGACAGAGAGGAGCTGCGATTGAACAGATCGGGCGACCGAAACCCTAGCTCTGCGATTTTGAGACGGGAGGAAGAAGAGAAGTCAGATGTTTTTGAGAGAGGGAACAACGGTTGGGATGAGTGGATAATGGATTCAACGATGATTAAGAATTCGGGTCCAAAACAGATACCCAGTAACAAAAACCGAAACCCGATAAAAACACAAAGCTGCTGCAGTAAATTCCTGTCGGTCGACCGACGCGGTCGACCGAAACGATTACAGAAAGACCGTCGGTCGACCGGGTCGGTCGACCGCGAGAAAATAAAGAGCAGGTTAAAGAAGAAAAATGGTTTTGAGAGATTTTTCAATTTAGACCTTTTGGAATTTTGTTTTATAAA